TTCTACGTACTACTATTACGTACTCTCTCTCTCTCTCTCTCTCTCTCTCTCTCTCTCTCTCTCTCTCTCTCTCTCTCTCGCAGTGAACGCGGTGTCACGCTGGCTACCTCCTTGTTCCTCGCACTCCACACAGGCATACATACCTCTCACTCACTCGGTATGTATCCATCTTTCTCTTCCTCTTTCTGGCTTATCGTCACTTGCCGTTTTCTAACCCGTTGCAGTCGACACGGGGGCGAGAAGGAGACGCAAAATACAGGGTGAAACGGTGGGGATGGAGGCGACAGGATTGGCCAACGGATCTATCACCCTCGCAAAAGGTGATACGAGAGGGGAGAATCGTATGGGACGTGGTGGGGGTTAGTATTGTTACAGTACTTAACGAACGGTCGAGGTAATCAGTATTGCTCCTTGCGGCAGCCAACAATTCTGCCAATTTGCTTCAATCTCCACCGAAGCATGGCCGACTCCGGACCATTTTGTTCCTTCTCGGCGCGATCGGTATCGGATTTGTCTGAATTTGCTAATTTTTCCTCCATCACTATCTTCCATCTTGCTTCTTGCTTATCTTCCCTTCCTATATCTTCCCTCGTCTCGTCGCACGTTTTTTATATTTCGATCGAAATATATTTCACGACGTTATCATGTACGTACGTTCGTCGAGATCATAGATCGTAGATAACTAAGAAAAATTTCGGGAACGCGCGAAGGACGTTGGCGTGGTCGATAGAAGGGTTGAAAACGATAGCCAGGTTTCGTGAGCCACTCGATGAACATTACCTCCGTTTACCATTTTCCATCCCCCCGCCAGGTGAAGAGTTGGCGTTAAATGTACAAAGTTTACCGATGCGATTACAAATCGTCCGAAGAATTCAATCACCTACAGTAAACTATCAAACGGCAACGGACGAATGGAAGCTGGGAGGAAAGTTGAAGCGGTTGGAAGAAACTTGAAATGGCTTTGCAAATTTACCCGTCCCGTTGTCGACTCATTAATTATCTCCTCTCTTAACGGTAGAACGATCAAACTTTCATTTTCTTATTTCATTTGCTGCTTCCTTCGTTGCTGCCGTCTCCGTGGACGATGCGAACAATCATTGCGGTTTGAAACGCCGTTTCGCAAAATTGCAAATTTAATTGTGGATTGAAATTGTGACTACAATAAAATGGGACGTTTGACGAGGGAATCGACATCGTTTATCGGTTAGATAATACCGGTTGACCTTACCTATAAGCGAGGATGATTCGAATCAACGAGACTCCCCAATATGAACATTCCAAATCGGAAGAAGGGGTGAAAGTGGGCGGATAGGAGTTTTGCGTGTACAGAGTGCATCAATCAACGAGTCCTTCTGCGAATAATACCGGTTCATGAGGTCACACGCCTATCGCTCTTTTCTCTTAAGTGGCGATAAGGGAATAAATTGGCCCTGACGAATTTTGTAATCGCTTAACTTTTGTTTATTATCTATCTTAACGCGCTTAAACCTGATGAACGATGATAAAAATGTATCTGTCTCACGCGTGTGATCCATGTTTTCCGAAAATAGAACGAAAAGAAGCGAGGAACAGTGAGTCGAGGCGGAAAAGTCGGGTGACACATTTTTTTTCCTTTTCTTTTTTTTTTTTTTTTTTTTTTTGTCCGGATTTACTTGTCAGACGTGACAGAAACGACGCAATTTTCGCAAATGAAGACACCGTGTAATTTTTATTAGAACGTCTGAAAAGTTTGTGCAACGTCTTTGGTGTGGAAGAGGCCCATTAGCCGGAGCCACCCTCATTGTTCCATCCCTGACACTCGGCCTTCCGTGATATGGCGCGTGAACGGTTGACATATAATTAGCATTTGGGGTAACGAAAGCTCGACTGAGGATGACAGGAGGCACAATACACACCCACTTGGTTATCCTCTGTCCCATAACTCGGCCACAAACCCGCCCTTTCTCTCCCGTTCCCTATACGAGCGTGTCGCGTATAAGCCGATTCGAAAATTAACCGGCTCGTAATCCTCCTCCTAACCGCTTCTCTCTCCTCCATTCTCTCCGCGAAAAACTATTCTTTTTCTCACCGTTTCTCTTCTCCACAATATCCTCGATTATTTCGAGTAATCTTTTCCGCCAATTTTCCACCAATCCTGGGGTGCACCAACGAACCAAGGGAGAGAAAGAAAACTTGGAATGTTAAATTTTCTATTGGATCGCGTATTGGTTGGTGGTAAACCGGGCGGAATTTGAATCGCAATCGTACGTGCGGGTGAAACGAGGGTGAAATGAAAACGATCTCGCGCGCGTTCCTTTTTTTCCCAGGGAATTTAAACGCGCACCATGACTCCTGATTTCGAAGTTTCGCGTTATGAGGAGGACTCGCCGAGAGGGTGATTTAAAGTTAATTGGAGAGTGGCGGTGGCACAGGCGTAGAGAGAGAGGGGGGGAGGGGGAGGAGAACGAAGAGGAATAAATTGCGAGTCGCCTAGCACGGATCGGAAAGGGGGGGAGGGAGGGCTCCCCGGTGTTATATTGCGCCGCGCGGTGTATTCTGAATTAAGTCGCTCAGTTGTGCGCCGTTTACTTTGCTCCTCGACTGCTCTCGAATCGTGTGCGGGAGGAGAGGGCGGGAGAGGGAGGGAGGATGGCTTAATTTTAAGGAACTTTGCACCCACCCGTCCCACCAAGTTTAATTCTATCCGTCGAACAACCTTCCCGCCCAACGACACGTCCCGATAATTGTGCCCGAAAATTGCCTTTCGTGTATCGCCGCTAGATAGCCGTTCCTCCTATCTGATAGTTTTACATTTCGTTTTCAACGCCAACCTCGAGTTTGCGACTCGAAGAAAAATTTAACCGCTCAGAGATAGAGATATTTGTATACAGATACTTCATCGAAATCGAAGAAGAGAGCGAGAGAGAGAAAGAGACAGAGAGAGGAGAACGAATCATTGTGATGGAGTTTCACAAAATTGGACAGCATATATTAGTATCGAGTATTGTTTGAGGGGGAAAAAAAGGGAAAAAAAAACGCTCGACAGAGACAAAATTTCAGTGGGAAAACGGAGCGAAGGACAAAAGGCGCATTGTTTAAAACGAAAACGAAGTGATTCCAGAGAGCCCTGCGTATGAGCAAGCGTGCAAGGGTCGGATAAAAAAAAAAAAAATTGGTGCCCACGTGCGTGGCCGTATGAATACGGGCGGCTTTCCAAAATGGCAACGAGTCCCGCTGGGCTCGATGCATCTCGAATTCACGTAGTTCGACGTATCGTCGAGTCGAGCAGGGTTGGCGGGGGGTTCACAGCTGCGCAGTCTACGGGGGTTTGTTACCCCCTCGCCCCGTGGCGTTCCAACTCCCGGTTGGAACACCTCGTTATCACCGATTCCTCGTTCCTTCTCGCTCCTTCCCTTAACTTTAATCCCGCTAACTTCTTGACAATTTTCAAACCTTTTGTCTTGTATAATTATTATTATTATCTTCTCGCTCTTTTTCTCTCTTTCTCTTTCTCTCTCTTGCGCGCGCGCGTCTCAACTTTCGATCATAATTCCGATCCAAGATTGAATTCCTTATCGTTACGTTTAAATATAATCGTGTTTAATTTGTCGATCGTTGAATCTCAATGGCTTGCAAACTGGCTTGTTTATCGGAAAACAAACACAAAGGAGGTTGTAGATTAAATACAAGAGCGCACACGTGCCGTTTGCCGTGACGTTGAGTTCACGATCGCCACAGCGGGCGCCTCGGGTTCGCCGTTTGTGCGCGTTCATTTCGCATTTTCGGCGTCGTTACCGCGCCCCGCTCACAAAAGCCGCGTAACTCGAGATCGGCCGGCCTTCGCCGTACATAATGACGATCGCCAACGACGATCATAATAGTCTCACGGAATAATAAGTGGGATAAAAGTCAGGAAAACAATTGGCACCGCCATTGTCACTTGGCGGCCCATTCAGCCACCCCACAGCCCTGTTTGCGTTCACCTCGTTTTGTCGAGCAACTCCTCGGACGCGATGGGAATCGTTCGCTCTCCCGCAATAGAGGAAATCAAATTATTATCGACTCGTTTCAACGACGACCATGATCGTTCGACCTCCTCCGGCTATTCGTCAAACGAATAGCGACTTTTCAAGGGTCTTTTTTTAAAAAGAATCGTACAAAAGGAAAAAAAAAAAAAATAAAAGAATATATTTAGATCGACGCGATCGAAATAAAAAAAATACTAAAAAATTGTCGTTGCTTCGCACAAATTCTCTTCCGACGTATCCATAATTGTTCGATATCTTCTAATTTCTAAACTTTAGAACGAAATTTTTCTTCCGTTGGTCGACCAACTCGTAGAGTCTTGTTTCTCCTTTCTTATTATCCCAGCCGCCTCCTCCCACCACCAGTCTAGACAATGTGCATTACAAAAGAGGTTTTTCGTCAAGCACGTTACGTGTACAACAAACGGTGGCGTACGTCTGCGAGCGCCCTTCCTCCGCTTCCGCTCGCGCTATTGAATCGCGGGATCACGATTCTCGAAGGAAGAATGGACCAAACTCGACACCATCGGAGGGGGGATACTGCAAAGATGGATAGGGGTGGCACCGGAAGTCTTGCGTGCCATTTGCCTCGTACGACATACTTATCCACGTCTTCAAGAATCATCGGATGGTGAATAAGGGAGTCTTCTCGAGTGGCGCGTGCCCCGCCGCCTCCGGATCTATAGTCTACCTTTCAAATGATCAACCTCCGTGTCGTATCGTATTTTCTTTTGAATAAAACGCCAGATGACGAACAACGCCTCCCCCCCCCCCTCCTCCCTTTCACCAAGACACCAAACCCATCGGTTAACCAAATCTTTCGGTCAACCTATTATTTCTCGACTCGCCTTTTACTTCGCACCTCGCCGACGATTTGCGATACGAAATCATTCGTTCGATCTCATTAGAAGAGTTATTAAAATATATGGAAAAGATCTTTCCTATTCCTGAATCCTTTTCTTTTTCCTTTTTTTTTTTTTTTTTTCTTTTTTTACAGAGACAATCGGCGAAAAATATTTTTGCCGATTTTTGATAAAATCGGTTGGAAATATTATATTTCGTTGCAACAAGGGATAAATTTACAATGTATCGATTTCCACCATTATGGATTACGAATCGCTGCAAGATGCAATCGACGCTTCATCGACAAAACCGTGAATTTAACACGATATAATATATATATATGTTGGAGACGAAACACGGTGGCAGGCATTTCCCGTAATTCCCTAGGATACCGTTGAACGAGAGAGTTCACCGTCCCGTGCCTCGTGTTTCTCGAAATCGGGAAACAAATTTCCTTAGGCACGAACGCGAGCGAGCAAAGGGGGCTAGGGCATGAATAGTCACACGCAAATCCCGTCACGGCTATTGGTTCCTTATCAGATATCAGTTATGCGCTCGATTTGGGGTGCGTGCAGCCTATTACATCTGTGATCCATTGATAAGCACGTCAAATCCGCCAACAACACACTCCTGCCCGGGCGAAGCGGCATTCGAAGCCCCTCGAAAACCGCACTTCCTCGCTACTCGAATCGATTACCGAGACCTTCCCGCGATTCGACTAGCTTCGATTCAACCTGTCTTACGGCGTGTCTCAATCACTCGTCCCTCCTTCCCTTCCTCCACTTCCCCTACTTTCTCCTCAAGTCTCGTATCAAATTATGAACTTGTCCCATCGTTGTTCCAACTTCGATCGAGCATTCTCGTGGATCGCGTGTGCAAGCTTTAATCGGAGATTGGCCGATCTCTGTATCGTTTGGAAATATTATGGAAAGAGCGAGGAAGAGAAACGGAAAGAGAAAAGGAGACGAAAGATGGTTCGTTACGATCGCGTCACGTATCGTATCCCCTTTCAAAGGTTAAGTCTACCGATTCTGACGGGTTAAAGTGTTGGAAAGAACTGGTTGGACGGCTGCCATCTGCCACCCCCAACCCCCGGGGGTTTCTAACGGAGGACGCAGAAGCGGAGAGTTCAGAATTCTCGCGAGTGGCTTGGACGGCTCAATGCCTTTAACCGTCTCTTGGCCACCCTCGAGAAACCACCCTCTTCCTCTCCTCCTTCTCTTCCCCTTCCCTCTTTCTCTTTCTCTCGTCTTTATTCCATCGTGAACCATAACGCTTTTCGTACAAGATTATACAGGATATTACGCATTAAATGTCTCAATTCGCTCTCTGCCCTTTCTCTCTCTCTCTC